CTTGAGGTGAGGCAGTTGATACCCATTGTTGAATTAATGGATTTGTGAGCTGAAAAATGGACAGAATAAAAAGGAAGATACTATTATGATCTGTGTCACACATTATAGGGCACATGTCACAACCTCAAAGGACAATTACCACTCAGAGCGCTCCCAATCCTATATTTTCTCATATTGCAATCTAACATACAAGACCAGAAGACCAGAACTGCTGTCTCTCCAAAGACCAGTTCCTAACAGATGCATTCAGAGAGAAAAAAATATGGTTAGATAGAGAAAGAGAAACAATGAGTCATACCACTGTTGAAACATTTTAATACAGGATTAAAGCTGTTTTCAGCGCGGATAAAGATAATGAAGAAGTAGCATAAAGAAAAGAAATAAAAATAAAAAGAAATCACAGAGAATATGATGATAACAATAGTTCAGCACAATCCAACATTCCCAATTAGAAGTGCAATGAGCATGGAGATGATGGTTGATCACCACCACTTATAGGTGCAATGAGCACAAGACTGAGCAAACAGAATGGCTGATTAACATCAAGAGGTGTTATTTTTTGATAAAATGGGAGAATGGATTGGGAATGATTATTTGAAGGAGTTTAGGTGAGGAATGATCAACTAGGAGTCTTTTGCAAGATGATATATCAATTCAACACACGTGACAGAGGATGAAGTGAGGTTCAGTGAAGAGGAATTACTGGGGAACAAAGCTAGTTTAGAACACTCTTCACCATGCTGCTGCTACTTAGTTGTTGTTTTTTTTCTCATTAGCTTGGTTCCCCCAGGGTGTTTTCATAAGAGAATACATGGTATGTCTTACTATAATCCTTTCAATTCAAGGACCCTTTTCGATTCATCTTTGTGATATTCAAAACCAGATCATGATACCCTTTGCTGGAAGATTACAAGGGGGTCCACTGACACAAGCTGTTTGGTGTGCGTGCAGATTATAATTAGGAGCTTGCTGGATGGGGTGATTTTTCTTTTGACTTCTTTTTTTGGTTATGCGACTTGGATGCTTCTTAATCTCATGTTTGGATAATGCTGGAAGCTTTCAAGAGGATGTGCTAGTGGTCTGCAGCATTATAATTCTTGTTGAGCTGCTACTCGTATTTGTGCTGCTTGCAGTTGCCCAGTTCTGGCTGAGGAGACGCGGTCAAAGAAAAAAAAGAAAAAGTGAACCACACAGAAACAACGATGGACAGTCCTACTCGATCTCTCAAACGTAAAACACCAGAAAACGAACAACAACAACAACCAGAAGAAGAACCAGAAGAAGGAAAGAAACACAAAACAACACATCCAGCACACAACCAACCGAAGTCGCTCGTGGAATTAGATAGGGCAAAGGCAATTCTATCCATCAAGCAGAAACCTATCGAACTATGCGAAGTCAGCAACCAGATCAAAAAGAGTTGAGTGCTTGACTTGTTCAAGATAACCAAATGAAGACACAAGGCTGACTGACTGTCTCGATCATCAGACCTAGTGGCTGTTACCGAAGAACTCGAATCCTCCCGTTCCTTGATCCACGAACTATCACTAACCCAAAATAATCTCATCGCTTGTCTGGTACACGAATCGTAAGCCATCGCCTGATTAAAATTAACTCAAACTACTCGTTATTCAATCTGCTAACAGTTCAACTCGCAGGGATCGGACACTGCCAGAATTGGCGGAATATGTCCACTCGAAACTCTTACCTCAAAGCAGACTACTCATTGAAGAAGATCAGGATACTCAGAAACCATTTGGTAAGCTCTGACATATTCCATCCAAGAAAAGAAGCCTGACTAATATCTGTCGAAAAAAAAAGATCCTCTCCCATTATCAGTCATTGAATCTTCGATCAATCAGGTCGCGAAAAGAATCAACTATGCTCCCGTACAAACAGACCTCGATTGGCTTCCCTCAAACCTACCAAAAGTGAAGCAAATAATCTCTTGAACAAAAAAAAACTGACATTTTCAACTCATGCACCCATACTTGGTTATCTTCAAATATATATAGGGCTTCCAGATTTGGAGGTGGGAGTGTCACGATCAAGATACCGTCATCCCGTCTGACTTGAAAGATATTTCCCAAAAGAGATGGGCAGAACGCCAATTAGTGAGAGATTCATGCGCTCATCAGTTTCAAGTCAACATGAAAATTGATTTGCTGATTTTTAGTCTCTTTTTTCCTTGTGCGATGCGTGTCTTAGATTAAGCCGCAGGTCTTAGCAATCCTCTCCGACCTGGACGCTCCCGAGAGAGAAGCATTAATCAAAAAACTTCAACCGGCAAAGCGTAGGCCCAAAAGCAACACAGATACTCCAACTAGTACACCCGCTCGACCGCCGAAGGAATCCAAACCCAAACCCCCCAATCTTTCTCAGGAAGCCAAATCAACCGAACAAAACTGTCCAACCACCCCGAAAACCAATGATTATCAAGTAGCAGTAGAAAGCAAAGAAACAGGCGAAAAGGTTTTAACTGAGAAAGAACTGATCAAGCAGCAAAAGGATCAGAAGCGGAAAGAGAAAGAAGATGCCAAATTGGCCGCAGAGCGGCAGAAGCAAAAGATGGGTAATCTGCTAAGTGGATGGATGACCAAAGCCGCCCCGACCAACAAGATTGGCCACGCGTCTACATCTTCGAATCAGCCCACCCAAACGGCCGTCCAGCCAGAAGGCATCGAAATCACCGCGTGGTTCAAAAATGGCGTCAAACAGCAGGTCAATAAGACCTCCCTATCAGATTTTGAAAGAACTTTCAAGCCTTTCAATCTTAAACCCAACGCCCAATTGGCTCCGATCAATCGCTTCCAACCTCCTGGCGGATCCAATGCAAAGGATCAGCAATACTCACCTACCACAGAGCTTAGCCCTAAAGGTATGTGGCTTTCATAATCATTCTTTGGTGACTTCGCTTTCAATCAAAATAATTTTGTTGAGTTGAGATATGTGTCTCTCCTGGTGTAGAATGTCTAGAACAGTTTTTGAAATCAGTGCGCTCGACATCACCAGACAAATCGAAACAGAAACTGATGACCATTAGGGAGATCGTTCATGGAATCGCAGAAAGCGAACTCACTGGCTGTGTCGAAGAGACTAAAAGATGGCGGAGGGCCTTGCAGAATCGCTCAATCATACCGGTTAAATTCTTGAGATTCCACGAGGATGTACGACCTGGATACATTGGTTTGTTTTGCAATTCTTTTTTGTGCCCGAGTGAAAGATGAATAGTTATCCATTTTCTTCTTCAATTCATCTAGGTACCTGGTGTAAAACATCCAGACTAGTCAGTGGACGAAATCCATTCGGAAGAGATACATGCTTATTGGATTATGAATATGATAGTGAAGCGGATTGGAATGAGGAAGACGGAGAAGGGGAAGATTTAGAACAGCAGTCGGATGGAGGGAACGAGGAGGGAGGGGAGGGGATGTCATCGGAGCTTGGAGATTCAGATTCGGATGGATGGTTAGTGGGAGATGATGAAGATATCGAGATGGTTGATGATGGTGAGAATGAACAGAGCAACCGTACGCTCGACGCGCAACTTGAAGACCATCAGCTCGCCAAACAGAATAAGAAAATTACGGGACTTACGCGCAGGAAGATCATTGCCCCTTTAATACCGGTGGTAAAGGGTCCGATTTGGGAAGACACTCTTGGGTTGGTGTCGGCTTCCATGTTTGAATGTTTTCGGATCCAGATGATCAATGGTAAGTTAGCTTTAGTATTTCTCACCTGGATAAGAATTTCTCTTTCCTAATCAGCCATGGACACTCTTTCTCTGGTGTGATGAAAAAGATGCACCAATCGGATTAAACCCATTCACTTATGAGCCCAAGGCGATGTCAAAAGTGGCCCATCGACCCAAGCTCTCGACGACTGGATTCAAATCTATTCCGGCAGTATTACCCCTTCCCACGCACCAAGCGAATCCATCAGACGCGGGCATGCTGATGGAGAGGGCCAAAGTGACAGACATGCGAGCGCTAAATGGTGTTACCTTAGAGAGCGAAAACCAGTCTGAGCCAGTCCGCCAAAAGCTTAACAACAATAACAATAACACGGGGACATTCCCGCTAGAATTGATCCCCCCAATGATCAAGATGGTTAATGGGAACAGGAAGGCCAAGCCGATCCTATTGGAAGATCTGAGGAATGAATTCCTAAACAATCATCGGCTTAAGGTCTCCAAACGCTCCATCGAACAGACGCTCAACTCGATCGCTGTTAAGGTTGCTGGCACGTGGAGAATCGTCGATCTGAATTCCTCTAACCCGTCCTCTTGATCTCCCTTTCTTCGAAAAGAACCAATCCCTTTGCCTCCACTACCTGCATGGAACCCTGATTCCCTTCTGTTTGTTTGATTGTTTTCTTTGATTATATATACACGTATTGCGAGTAGCTGGGCTTAGCTCAGAACCCAAGATCGCTGTTTGCACCACCCATTTCTTCCCCTCATCCTGTTTTACACTCCATTGTTTGGTTATGCAGGACTGCTGAGACTGGCTTCACCTCGCGTAAAACGATGTCACACAGACTGGCGGGTTGTACGATCTTGTAGCTCCACATGACATGCATACGCTGTTGAGACCTAACCACATAGGGGAAAGTTTCCAGCACCTGCTGTCAGGTGCCATAAATCATGTTTTTCATAGAGCTTGACTGGAACATTCTGAATGTTAACATGAACAAAACCTGAAAGAATGTTGATGTATCTCATATCCATTGGGGAAAACATTGATATCAACAACAATTGGAGCAGGAGCTGATCTGAACCCACCCACATCTAAAATGGAATCTTATCGCAACTCATCTGGAACCCAAGGAGAATTAAATTTCAAACATGATCCAAAAATTTATTACATATACCCAAATTTGAAAATTATTTTTCCAATTCACTGAGATTTTAAACCAATGCAGGAAATTATCTGCAGTCACATTGAATGGAAAAACAAGTGAAGCTGGTGCTCCATGTTGGATATACCCCGTGCTCCCATGCGGACTTAGCTCAATGGTAGAGCAACTTGCATGTACTGAGGGGTTGCAGCTTTGAGACCTACAGTCCACATCCTTTTACAGGTTATGCGCCCAGGCCGCTTCAACGTGGGTGGGATTGTGGTGGTAGTTGTAGGCTTCTTTCAAGATGGTACTGTGCGCCGCAGCGGTTGCCCGGGGTACGGGGGGTGTTGGATCCCCGTGCTCCCGTGCGGACTTAGCTCAATGGTAGAGCACCTTGCATGTGTTGAGGGGTTGCAGATTCGAGTCCTGTAGTCCACATGCTTTTACACTCCAGTTATCATAATCAATGCAGGATATAGTTGCATCTATGTTTATGTATGACTTATTATTGCATTTCAGCTCATATATAGATGAATTAGACTTGTCAGAGTTTATATTTGTATTTTTTTTATTGATGCTGAGCAACCCAGTAGTATAAATAAAAAGTAAATGTTAAAAGATGTAAACTTGATTTTTTTTCAACCATGATGCTTTGGTATGGTTGCTCTCTACTCTCTCACCAGGGCTTTTTTGATGGAGCTTGCATGCAAGTGCTTTCACATAACTTTCTGGAACTCCCCTGTAACTTCTTGGAAGTTGGTCTGAAGTACAAGTACATCACAAGTAATGTTGAACTCAGGGCATGATGAAGTGGGTTGCAAATCTTGTTAATATGAAGATCAAAAGTTGATATTTCCCAAGTCAATCTGTTATCATCCTGTACTTATGAATAAATTTTATCTTCATGTCCCCGGCAAAAAAATAGTATATATTTTTGGCTCATACAATTTTTCTTAAAATAATATTTCCAGTTCCAAAATACTGTTATGGATAATAATAAAAATGATGTGATTCATGATCCAGGACTAATGTGTTTTCTTGAAATGATCAAAACTCAGATCAGATATGATCAACCTTTTTTGACCTAAATCTGTGTTTTTGGTGTTATGATTGCATTGGGATTGTGGATGAAACACTTGCTGAGCCTTCATCTACCTGTAAATCCAAGTTGAACTGGAATTTTTGCAGTTGGTGTGATTGGTGTGTTCTGCTGAGACGAGGTTGGTTATGGAGGTAGCTTGCTGCCTCCATTACTGGAGCGATGATGAGGTGATTGTTCTTCATTGTCACCTGTAGCATTGAGTAGATTTGATTCGGAAGGCTCTGATCGGGGTGGATAGAAGATGTGAAAGAAGACGATTTTGATGCCAGATTCAGAGCTGATTGCCAATANATCGAATTGATTCATGAAAAAGCTAGAGAAACAGTGTACTTTCAAAGCTTTAGACGATGGTTTTTGAGCTTGAGATTTCAGTTTGATCAAGACACCATAGAAGTTGATAATCTTGTCGTTAAGCCATAGGTCAGGCGAGGATAGTCTTTGGAGTTCTTTGACTCCGCAAGGAGGGCCATTGAACCCCATTAACATGCTTTCGAAGAACATCCTGGACTTTCCTGAAGTTAGAAATGCTAGTGAGATGGATGACAGTGGTGTGGATCTGTTTTGGAGGTGCCTCGAAGCGATCAACTTGATTGGAGGATTTGATCCGGTGAGACATCATTGGGCGCTGAGATGATTGATGTGATAAAACGTTAGCCGGAAGGTGAAGGGAGCTTGCAGGCGAGGCTTTCAGCTTGAGCAGCTGTGCTTTTAAGGTCGAAATATTGTCATCAATGATGATAAAATTATTCAATTGAATGGTTCTGTTACTAGCGTGGGAGGCAGACATGGTGTAAGCTGATCGGCCAACTGCCAAATGTGAAGTGATTGTCAGTATCATTACAAGGTCGGCAGACCCACTTTTCTCTGGATCACATGTCTCAGTTTTGGAAAATACTTCAGCTGCAGCAGCCTGGAGAGCCGTCGGGTTGGATATATCATGCTCGCTTTTCTCGTATGGCATATGGGAGACATCAACATTCCAGCTGGTAAGATAAGTAGTGACATGTTTAGCGAAAATACTCTGCTCAGCCGCAAAGAAGACGGCCGTCTTTCCTTTCAGTGTGGTTTCCGCGAATTTGGTTAGTTCATCCGCCTATGTAAATGAGAAGGAAAGCAAGTCAGCATCAATGAGAGGGGCGGTGCGATGGAAAGCTTACGGTAGGTTCCCGACTGGGTGTGGGGGAGGCAATTGCAGATACGGATGTATGTGATTGAGCAGCGTACGAATTTCGAGAGGCCGCATCGGCGTCTTCGGATTCACGCCCAACCCCTTTCCCGAAGATCCCGGTGACTTTCCAACTATGACCGGTGGAAGTTAATCTGCCGGTGCTGAGTTTCATGCCCAAAAGCTTCTCAAAGATAATTTTGGAGAGAGAGTCCTCGGGACATAGTGGTAGTTCCGATGTGAGGTTGGAGGACATGCGTAATCGGGCAAGTGTTGCGGATGCACGAAGTTGGGCACCGATCGAGGTACGACGATCGGTATGTAGGGCGAGACTTGAGGCGTTCCTTGAGGGTTTGCTTCTGAGTTCCTTGGATGGGTTTGACTCCAATTGATTATCATGCATGCTTTGGGGAGATGATGATAATGGTAAAGGAGGGGGGTAAGAGAGACACGTCAAAGACGCACTTCCAGCTAGTAATAAATGAGTCATCTTGTAGGGAAGGGTCCTCCTGGCGTGCTTCTGGAGCCTCATCTACATTGACCTCGGTGGCTTGAGACTGTGAGGGTGCTTGAGATGGCTGAGAATGCAGGGGAGTGAGATGAAGGCTGACTTCGATGGTACTGGAACACTTGGCACGATAAAGAATCTGCCTCAGCAAGCAGGTGAGGCCGATGATTAATCCCTTTTTGTCTGCTTTCACAGAGATCTCTCGTAAGCCACCTTCTCCGTCTGCGCCAGCGCCTAAGAATGGTTTGGGAATCTCAGGGGATGGGCCGAGGTTGGTGTGATAGGTGTGTTCTGCTGAGACGAGGTTGGTTATGGAGGTAGCTTGCTGCCTCCATGACTGGAGCGATGATGAGGTGATTGTTCTTCATTGTCACCTGTAGCATTGAGTAGATTCGATTCGGCAGGCTCTGATCAGGGTGGATAGAAGATGTGAAAGAAGATGATTTTGACGCCAGATTCAGAGCTGATTGCCGATAGAATATCACCGAAATGCTGTAAGGTGTTTGCTAGATCAAAACTTCCAAGGGTTTCGGTTGGAATATCTAGATTTTCTTGCGGTGGTGGTTATTGGTGGTGAGCTAAGGTAGGGGTTAAGGAGGGGGCGTGAGTTGAGTACAAGTGACGGATAATTTTGAGGTTTGGATCATCGGTAATCAGTTGGAATTCTTTGAGGTTAATCCATTCTATACAGTTTAAGAGTCTGCATATACTTGAGATAGAAGTGATGGGTAGAGCGATAGAGGAGGCGCTGAGTTGTTCAATTGTGGTTGGAAGGTGTCAATGAGAAGCTTGTGGCGGATCGGATTGATGAATAGCTTCAAGATTCCAGCTATGATTGTTAGTATTATTAGCATTATTATTAGTATCATCTTCATGATCGCCCTCTAGTTGATTAGTTTTCTGGGACAGTTCATACGCATAGAATATTCTGAAAGCATCGGAAGAGCCAAAGCAGCTAGAATGCATGCCAGATAAGAGTTTGGCGGGTACCAGTTGTGCTAGATTGACGAGCGCAGGTTGTGTGAGTAGAGAATGAATTGAGCTCGTTATTGAAATGATCGAGTTTGAGGGAAGAGTTGAGGAAGGAGTGAGGGGGCTGTTAGGGTAGGATGAGTAGATGAGATCATTTAATGGTTGTGGTTGGTGTTGGTTTGAGACAGGATCATTGAGAGAAGAAGGGGTGGATAAAATGTTAATTTTTGAGTTGTGTGGAGGTTTGTTGGTGCCTGACTTTGAGGAGAATGAGGATAGCACATTTAGTTTGAGTGTGGCAGCTTGACGGGCAAGGGAGATCTTGTGACATGAAGATAGTGATTGAGGTTGTTGGTGATGTATGCTACTAGAATTGCTAGAGGAAGATTCACTGCAGTTTGGATGTGAGTGACTCGAGTTGAGGTTGGATGAGGATAACTTGTTCGGGCATGGAAAAAAAAGTGGGAGTGATGAGGAGGTATTCAGCAGGAATCCTGGGGAGAAAGATTATCCAATTCAGAAACGTTGCCAAACTTCTGCCAGACATCATCAAAATGCAGTTCAAAGTTAACTTTGGGGGCATCCTGATAGAACACTGTGGAGCTTATATAGGCAAGGGGGTGACTGCGGGTCTCAGCAGTTGCTGC